TATTTTGCTGCTGTTGAAATTGCAACCTGTTTAAACGAACACCACTATCTGCATTTCTACTTGCAGGTGGTCAATAAATTTCCATAGAAGGGCGAGAAGAAACCTATGTAAGTGTCACTGTAGGTTTTTTCTGAGATAAAGTGTTCTGCTGCACAAAGTTCAGGTCTTCGTCAATGAGATCATCTGGTTCTGGCTTAATATCAGTCACATCTTCAGAGGGCGCTGGCTCCCTCAAAGGTTTCGCTGTTGACATTAGTCGGGTTGCAGCTCCATCATCATAAGTCTGCCTGACATTGGTGGTTTTTGACTCCTGTGAACGTGTAGGAACTCTGGAATCTCTTTTTTCAGGTCTAGTGCTAGGAATGGCACGTGGTGGCACTGTAGCTTCATGCTTCCTCTCATCTCCCCCACTGAAACTGCTCTTGTTTGAAGACACATTACTATCAAAGAGTTGGTATCAGAAGACTTTAGACCAGAAGGTCCAGTGGTAACAGAGTGAAGTTTATCTAATACACCATGAAGCCCTATGGTGAATCGAATTGTGTTGTTCCCTAGAAACAGGGAGAGATCATCTGTCATTTGGTCCTGACTTTTCTTGTTGGTCACCATCACCATAATGTAATCAGGAAGTTCTCTATCAACATAAGCTCCTAATTCTTGCAATTTCCCCTTAATGACACTCCGGATCTTACGGCTGATCTCGGTGCCGATCTCCATGGCTCCGCAGCTTGCGGGAACTCAGCACTGCATGCGTGGCGCATATCTTACCCGAGCCTACAGCGGGATCCTACCCCACAGCCACCAGGTTTCTTTAGATTGAAGAAAGTGTTTAGGAAATAGCTCAGTATGCACAGCAGCAGCGTAGGTGTGGTCTTGTATCTCCCAGGACCAGCTTGCAATGTCCCTGCCATGCTGCTTATAGAGTATGCATGGCCATGAGAAATAAACTGAAAAGGTGCAGACTGTCTCAACTCAGGGAAGCATTAGCTTTGGGTTTTCTTAAATCTTTTCTTTTCTTTCTTTTATTTATTTATTTTTTTTGAAACGGAGTCTTGCCCTGTTGCTCAGGCTGGAATGCAATGGCGCTACCTCGGCTCACTGCAACCTATGCCTTCCAGACTCAAGCGATTCTTCTGCCTCAGCCTCCAAGTAGCTGGAATTACAGTTGTGTGCCACCATGCCTGGCTAATTTTTTGTGTCTTTAGTAGAGACGGGATTTCACCATGTTGGCCAGGCTGGTCTCGAACTCCTGACCTCATGATCTGCCCGCCTTGGCCTCCCAAAGTGCTGGGATTACAGATGTGAGCCACCTTGCCCTACCTTCTTAAACTTTTATTTCCCATCAGTTACATGGCCTTCTCAGGTGAATGTGACCAGCCCTAATTCTTTGGGGCAGCTACATCTCACAAATTGTAGTTATTAATTACCGAGTCTCAACAGTGGGGCATGGTGGTTGTTCCTGTACCTATACCTTGATTAGATTATATTTTGATTTGGATCTGCTCTAGTTAAATTCCTAAAATTTCCTTATATTAATATTGCAAGTAGGATTACATGTGGGGAAACTCCTCAGACTCTTACGAAACTAAAGGGAAGACCAAAGAAACAGCTTTCGTAAACACCACTGCACTCAGACCAGCCAAGAAACAGCTTTTAACTCCTCTTAAAAGTCTGAACAGACATTGCTCAAAGGTTAATAATAGGTTGTGTCAAGATCATTGATGATCTTTTTCTTTCTTGTTTAAACTTGTTTTGTAATTTCACAATGAGTAATAATTAATTTTGCGTTCAGAAAAATAAAGATATTTCCAAAAAATCACATGCCTGCTCAATGGAGAAATGAACTATTGATGGAGATGACAAATATGCATCACACTTGCCAATGTTGAATTGACACAGAATTTTACTGACATCTCACATTCTTTAAAAATTACATTTCAACTTTAATTTTTTTAAACATTATTTCAAAATTGCAAATAAACTTTAAAGAAACATATTTTGTGTACATTGAATCTCCCTTTCTATTTTTGTAGCCAGCTGGGTTCTCCAGGAAGGAGACTCTGAGATAGGCAGTAGCATGACGGCAGGTTTGATAAGTTGTGCTGTTGAGATCAACACTCGTGGAAGGCAAGAGAAGAAAGCAGGATTGAGCAGAGGGAGAAGTCAAGCTACGATGTAGTCTCAGCAGAAGCTTCAGGAGACCCCTAGCTCTGAAGACAGAATGACCCTTCAGAGCTGCTCTTACGTTCCAAGTAGCAGTGAGGAGGACCAGGAGAGGGAAGAAGAGCTGGGAAAGTGAATGAAGGGGATGCAGGGAGGGGAGGGGTCAGGTTCTTGTAAGTCCATGTTGGTGCAAGGCCCTGGGATGAGGGTGTGTCCTTGGTAAGGTGATTCTCTTTAGTTGAGGCAATACCTAAAGGGAGCTGATAGTTGAGGTAGTCTTCAAGAAACCCTCTCAGCAGCTGGGTACTCAGCCCTTTATTCCTGAAGGGGGCTCTGGGTGGTACATTACAGTGTTCATTACAATTTGACAATAACAAATGAGACACTAAATTTGTCTTAAACAGAGCCTATATAGCAGATGCCATTAGTTGCCTAGTCAAAATTCAACTTCTCCCTCTGATCTCATTTGTGTGAAACAATGATGTGCCCAACCCACATGGGGGAACGCGGCCATCTAAACTAATTATGAGAATCCTATTCACTGATTTTCTGAGCCTCCTGCTGCCCTCCCACCCTTCACAGTAGTTAGGTGTGATCATGTAGCCTGATTCTAAATAAATAAGATCCAAAGAAGTGTTTGCTATAGGGATTGTGAAAAATATTTTGTTTTGTTGTTAAATGGAAGAGAGAAAGCTGACATCCCCTGACCTCTTCCTTTTTCTTGAACATAGCCACAGTGCTTATGGCTGTGGCAGCCATTTTGTAACCAAGAGGAGGTCAGGAAAACTTCTGAGTGTATTCTGATGTTGCTGAGCTGCTGAAAAAGCTGTAAAACTATCTCTGGATTTCTTGCTTTTTAAAGAAAAATAATCCATAATTGTTTAAGTAGCTAAAATGGGACATTCTGTTACTTGCAGCAAAGTACAATCTAAACAGATCCTAGTGTTATAACTCTATTGAGGATTTTATTAAAATATATAGTTGATATGTGTAATTGTGTGTGTGTTTACCAAATTGTGGTATATTTTTTAACAAATTCGAAAACATCAAATACTGTATTCTCCTTCTGGGTTTTCATATTGCCACATTAGCCTTAATGGTGTTAAAGGTTAGCATTAAAATGTTCTGTTATAAACATGCCTATTTCAAGTTTGTGCTTCAGAAAAATACGCTTCTTAAATATATTTGACTATTAAGACTTTACCTACAAGCACAGAATAGATTGGGAAACATTATTTCACCTGTGTTCTAACTCATAGTCACTAACTCATTCCCTGTCTTTGTGATTGCTTTCTTCAGCAGTGGTCCTAGAAGCATCTGTTTAAGTTGAATTAAGTAAAAACAGTAAAATAGGGTTACTTTTTTTTTTTTTTTTAGACAGAGTTTCGCTCTTGTTACCCAGGCTGGAGTGCAATGGCGCGATCTCGGCTCACCGCAACCTCCGCCTCCTGGGTTCAGGCAATTCTCCTGCCTCAGCCTCCTGAGTAGCTGGGATTACAGGCACACACCACCATGCCCAGCTAATTTTTTGTAGTTTTAGTAGAGACGGGGTTTCACCATGTTGACCAGGATGGTCTCGATCTCTTGACCTCGTGATCCACCCGCCTCGGCCTCCCAAAGTGCTGGGATTACAGGCGTGAGCCACCGCGCCCGGCCTAGGGTTACTTTTTTTTATGCCTATGATTAGTTTACCCTAGCAAGCAAACTAGCTGATGTATATTCACATGTTGAGCTGTGTTTTAGGATGTGGTCAAAGCCCAACAGAGAAATATGTGGAGCAGCACATTTGCAGCATTATTTGCTGGTCACAAATAACATCCTGTGTCTTTGTACGCCAGTGATTTTCATCTGCCTGCCATCAGTCCCCTTTCACTGCTCTACCAATTTGCTTATTGAGAGTGCAGAAACAGAGATGCAAGATAGAAGTATGCAGCTTCCTATGCAGAAGGAAGGAGGTCTATTTTGAAAAAAGAAGTGATAGTTGTGGCCACCTTAACAAAAGTCCTGAGTTGCATTTGATTATGCAGCTTCATGGCCTGGTATCTGCATATATTATATCATGATCTGCTGAGAGGGGCTTAGGTACACCCCCTCCCAGCCATTCTAGTGTGAATGACTGGATATGAGGCTTGCTTTGCTCTTTCATCTGCTTTTAAAAAAATGCTTTATTTTTATTTGTAGTGATTCATTTTGGCATTCTGAAGGGTAACATGGATGTCTTATAGACCTTAATTTAATAAAAAATAAAACTCACTGAAACCTAACTTTTCTTTTCTTCCTCCATCTTCTACATCTTGATAATAGCACTATCGTCACCCAGACATCTGGTTCCAGCCAGAAATCTGGAACTCATTCTTGCTACCTTGGCATACTTTCTCTGTCACCCAGGCTGGAGTACAATGGTAAAATGTTGACTCACTGCAAACTCTGAACGCTGGTTCAAATGATTCTCATGCCTCAGCCTCCCTAGTAGCTGGAATTACAGGTGCCCACCACCATGTCCAGCTAATTTTTGTGTTTTAGTAGAGATAAGCTTTCACCCTGTTGGTCAGGCTGGTCTCGAACTCCTGACATCAAGTGATCCTCCTATTTCGGCTTCCTAAAGTGCTGGGATTACAGGCGTGAGCCACCATGCCTGGCCAGAAGACCTGGTAATTCATTCACACCATTTCTCTACTGCCTCCTCCAGGCCAAGCATTGTAATTTCTAGACTCCCTACCTCTTTCTACACTGGTGGGTTTTATGATCCCTTTGCCACACAACCTCCAGAATAATATTTTAAAAATTAGTTTAGATCAAGTCACTCCCTTAATTAATGGGAGTTTTCAATGTTTTTACATTGCACTAAGAATAAAATTTCAACTTCTTCCCATCCCCTAAGACGCTGCAGAGTCTGGACCCTGCCCTGTTTTCCAACTTCAATATTTAACACTTTCTCTTCTGCTTTATACGCTAGAGCAAAGGTTAGCAAACTACATACAGCCCATGGGCCAAATCCACCCTGTCATCTGTTTTTGCAGATGGAATTTTATTGGAACATACCCACATTCATTCCTGTATGTATCATCTATGCCTGTTTTTATGTTACAATAACAGAGTTGAGTAGTTGCAACAGAGAACACATAGTCTGCAAAGCCTAAAATATTACCATCAAGCCCTTTAGAAAAAGTTTGTCAATCCCTCCTTTAGAGCTCCACTGGCCTCCTTTCCTCTCCTTAATCAAGATAAACTCTTTGTTACCTATGGCCTTTGCACTTGCCCAAGCCTCTGCTTGGCTAGGGTTCTGTTCTTTATGAAGCTTCTTCCATCATTTCCTCAATGACTCAGCTCAAACTCAGCTCAAATATACAGAAAGTTTTCTCTTGAGCGCTCAAATAAAGTAGGGTATTTTTTCCCCCCAGGTACACGCCACTCTATCATATCCCACTTTTCCTATATAGCACACATTAAAATAGAAATATCTGGCTTAAATTTTTGTTTGTTGTCCACTTTGCCTGCATAAGACTCTCCTAAGCTCCAGGAAGTCAGGCCCTGTCTACCTTCTTTAGCACGCCTTTCCCAGTACCTGGAAAGTGGCTGCACATAGTAAGTACTCATCAAATATTTGTTGATCTAAGGTAGTAACAATTGT